AAAGCAGCCAAGAGGAAATGAACGACTGCATTTTAGCAGAGACACAGAGACCAACGTCCTTCAAGACACACTTATTCCCAAGCACCTTTGGTCTGGGCTTTTTTATGGGTATTTTAGACAGCCAAAGTTGGAGACAGGGCTGGGGTGGCTGTGGGCAGAGCTGCCTCCCTCCCGGCCCCGCTGAGCTGGCATCGTACCCAGCTCAGCTCCAGCCTGCGGAGAAGCATGAGTGGAGCAGAGCCGAGCAGGACTTTCCAAGAACTTCTGCCAACACCATGAGGCCACCACCTAAAGCTTCAGGTACTCAAACACCTCGCTAAGTCTCACCTGGACTGGCCTCCCCATGCAACGGCTGATAGCCCTGGCAGCGTGGGTACCTGCCGCCGGCACGACTCCAGCGCAGAGCAGCTCTTGTGCCCCTTCATCCTGGAGGAGGCGGCGGGCAAAGGAACAGGCGAGGTCCCCCAGTGGATGCCCCAAGTCCTTCCCACCATGCCAGAGCAGTGAGGCTCCATCCCTTCACCTTCGGCAGCGGCTGGGAGAGCCCAGGCCCTGGCTGCCGAGGCCAGCAGGCGAGGATTGGGAGCCTTTGGCCGGACTCAATGTATTCCGGAGGGTCAGGAGAGCGGCCACAGCCGGCTGTGATGCTGAGGAGCTGGGCTGCCACTGCAGGAGCGTGCCATGCCACTGGTGCCCATGGCACACCTCTCCCTTGCACCGTCTATTTCTACAAGCCGAAGAGCAAAGTGCCTCCACCCGCCAGGACTGCAACTAAGGTAGAGCCTGGAGCGGGTTGATGGAGGTAGGACTGCCGTAAGAGATAGGATAAAAAGAGTTGTAACACCAGAACTGGTGTTTGGACAAGAAGCATGAGCACGGGGTGACCTGCACTGCACAACCCACGGCACCACACGGGCAATAACCCCTCTTCGAAAAGCAAGGATGCAGAGCGGGAGAGACCTGAGGTCAAGGTGACTGGAGAAGCCCCCATCCTGGAGATGGAGGCGAGGAGCTCGTTCTCAGGTTTAAGAGCCGCTACAGACAAGCTGCTTTCCTCTCCAGCTCTCAGCCTTCCCACCTCATCAATGGAGAAAAAAGCTCACCACTTCTGCAGCGCTCTGAGCCTGATGGATTAAAAGCACGGCAGGACGCCGAGCCACGGGACGTCTCAAACACTCTTCCCACCCAGGTGGCTACGACCAGGACGGACTGGCAGAGGTGGCCCTTGGGCGGGCAGGTAGCAGTGCGTGGTTATAGCCGTACAGGAGGGCACGGCACGGGCACGGGCATGGGCATGGGCACGGGCATGGGCACGAGCACCACGCTTGCCTGCAGGAACTCACAACCAGCCACGACGCAGGGCCAGGGCTCCCCTGGGGCTTTGAGCAGCTGAAGCGCTTTTTAAGAGGAGCATGGCCAGCAGGTCAAGGGAGGTTCTTCTCCTCCTCTACTCTGCCCTGGTGAGACCCCACCTGGAGCACTGGGTCCAGTTCTGGGCTCCCCAGTTCAAGAAAGATGAGGAACTCCTAGACAGAGTCCAGAGGAGGGCAACAAGGATGATGAGGGGACTGGAGCACCTCCCCTAGGAGGAAAGGCTGGGGGAGCTGGGCTTGTTCAGCCTGGAGAAGAGAAGGCTGAGAGGGGA